GGGATCATGACCTGAGCCGAAGGCAGTCGCTCAACTGACCGAGCCACCCAGGCGCCCTTTTTTTTTTTTTTTTTTAATAGAGTACTCCCAGGTGTGATCTTTGGAGTACAGAGGTTGGACAGACAAATACATTCATTTATTCAACCAATACTATTGTAATAGGAGCAATGAAAGAGAAAGTGGGGTCAATGCCAGGAGGCTTTGCAACTTGGTGGTGGGAAAAGAATTCCCATTTATTTTCTTAATGAATTATACAGTGAAATCATCACCTGATATAGGGTTGTAGAGTGTGGGGAAGGGGTAGGGGTGCAAGAGAATGGAGAAGGTTTTAAATAGTTGCCTTATAGTTTGGGAAAGTAAAATTAGTAGAGAAATGGCATGTGATCACTAGGTAACTTATATGTGAGAATTGTAGCCATGAATTTAACAAAGAAACAGTCAGCCCCTTTTTTGGTGACTTTTATGCAGCAGTCTGCAAGTACTCCAGTGTAGACATGTTGGATTCATTCAGGCTTGGATTTTTTCCAAGTAAATATGGGCGGGGGGAGACAGTGGCCAGAAATTTAGAATATTTTCAAGGGAGTGATTAGGATGGGCCAAGGAATCTAAGCTGGGCAAAAGAAGGAAATGACATCAGAAGAGGGTTGATAAATTATGAAAAGTGGTGGGGTTGATATATTGGGGGGCCAGGGAGTAGTTGAGTAGGGGCACACTGACCATCATGGCTTCTCTTTAGCTCCTCAGTATCTAGCTGTGCTGGCTGTGATACAGACTCTTCTCATGTTACTGATACGAGATGAATGTGTTCTAGGAATAAAGAGCCCCATTGGAAATTCTAAGCTTGTTCAGTCTGTGATCCAAGCATGTCTAGGCTGTATGATGGGTTAATGAAGAGTCCACTAAGGTGTCTGAGTCTCCTGAGAAAGAAGTAAGGTACCAAAGAGCCTTCTGGGAATGAATATTATCCTAAGGAAAGAGCAGTTTGCCGTACAGTGGCTTGTTCCAACTCAAGCTGATCAGTGATGAAAGGAAAGGGCACTTTGAATTCAGTACAGTCATCATGGCCTAGCTCCAAGAACTTTTCCTTGAGTTGAAGAAGATTTTGTAGTCAAGAGTGAGTTGAAATAGCATGTTTGCTAAAATCTCTGAGGCCACTGAGCACACAGGCAGTAAGCTGTTCATGCAATGGAGTGTAGCACAGGAGGAGTAAGAGTTGCCTTTCAGAATCAGAATAGCAACACAATAATTGTTACTATTTCAGGTGGCTGAACTGTTATTGCGTGGGTCAAGAAATGAAGTTCCTATAATTGCCGGTGGGGGTGGAGCCACAGAAATATTTTTTTGTTGTTATGATCCTATTTTTATGCCTTGGCTGGTATGGCCTGGCCAAACACAGCTACATAGATTCCTGTTATGTGTATTTCTGGGGTTTGTGTAACTGACAGCTTTGTAGGTAAATACCCATTGCTGATAAAGGCTCAGTGCTCTCTTACAGACTCCACAAATTCAGGTAATACCAGAACACAATGAAAGGAAACCCAGAAGAACTTGGTTAAAATTCAGTGTCATTTTTAGGAGGGGCTTTGTAACCTATAAATATTCTTGTAGGGCTTGGGGACCTGATCTGATTAGGTTAATAATATGGAAGGACGAATAAATTCAGGATTAAAGGTAAGCTTCTAAGAATTTTTTCTTTCTTTCTTTCTTTCTAAGCAAAAATGTATGCAAACTCCTGTGCTTTAACAAAAGATCAAGCCAAGAAACTCTTCAAAATGTCTGCTGGTCTCTTTTTCCATCTCTATACAGTAGTTAGATGCATAGGATGCCAGAGCAGCAAGGTTTGTCCTGTGATTGAGCCAAAGTCCTCTTATTTTGCAAGTGATGAAACTGAGGCCCAGAAAGGAGAAATGAGTTGACTGATTAATATCAAATCCAGAACTCAAGTCTCACCTCTTGTTTAGGGGGTCACTCCTAGACTCTTGAAGAGAGACCCTTGTTCCTTGTCCAGGAAATTGCCAAAGGCACAGTTTCCCTACATGAACAGATGTGCAGCTCAGACTGCGTAAGAAGCCTTTATATGCTTAAGGATCTAAAAGAGAAAGGAGCCTGTCCTTTTCCTTTCCAGGTGGGCTTGGTAACTGAACTGACCAAGCTTTTCTAAGATTTCCTTGGGAATCTGGGTTGAAACCTGGCCCCTCACCTGTAGCTGGGCCGTTGCTGCAAGCATCTTCTGCCGAGTTTGCAGCACCGTGGATGAGGACATGGAGATAGGTACGCTTTGTCTCAACCACCTTATATCTTCCCACATACAAGACAGCTGCAAAAGAAGTCACGAGGTCATATCATCATCCAAGCCAGTACATGATTTAGGTTGTGGCATCAAAGCAAAAAGCAGGGAAAAGGAAACCTGACCCCTGATGTTTGTTCTCCAGTCCATTTTCAGATACATGCAAAACAACTTTTTGATCTCTGTCCAACTGGAAAAAGATCTGAATGTTAATGAAATAGTCAGATCCACATTTTAGTCTTTGCCAAATGATCCCATAACTCAGAATAGTGGAGACACAGTCTGACAGAATGCGAGCTTCTTTGCTTTGAAAATGTAGCGTAGATGCTACTTTCACATTTTTTTATGGCACAGGGCATATCAGGGCTGAAAGAAGACCTTTGAGAGAATTTACTCCCACCCCAATACTTTGATCACTAGAGACTCCTCAACAAAGGTTTCAGAGATTTATGCACAGAAGCATTGGTGCAAACTGGGGAAAAATGAAATCAGAACTCAGTATACCTTTGTGAACCACAGAAAATCTTGTGTAATGGAACTGATGTGAGAGTCATCAATTTCAACAATCGGTATTTGATCTTCATTGGTGACTAACATATTGTCTTTGTAATAAAATATAACGGCTAAGTAGAGTCCCCTAAAAAGAAAAAGCAAAATAAAGAATTGTCTTCAAGTGTCTCTTCTACCAAGCTTGAATCATGGAAAAGCATATTTTTGGTCATGATAAAAGATCATTTAAAATATACCTATGATCATAGTGCTGCTAAGTATCACATGTTCACAGGCTAGAACTCAGCGAAATTATTACCTTGCCCTAATTCTCAGGAGAAAAGTGAATTTCATGCTCTTTTAATAACAGAGGAAATTTCTATCATGTTGCTACTAAGAATCCAAACCAGCTGATTCCTGAGAAATTAAGACTTCCTGGAAAAACTGCAATAGGACCCACCGTTTTAAGGTCTTCACAAACTTATTTGAGGAATGGAATAGGTGTTTCAGGCTCCTTGAGACTGACTGCTTGCGGCCTGTGGTTTGTAATTTTGAAGTTTCTGAAACACAGAAAAAAATACACTGTAAATTCCATTGGCAATGCAACACTCCCAGTACCTTCTTCCCACCTCCCTGCCTTCCTCTTCCCTGTTCCCTTGGTGTCACTTATCCTCAGCTTCATGTAGGGATTCAGCTCATTCATTCCTACAAAAAGCTCTTATATCTTGAGTTGCCAGTGGTTACCTCAATTAATGATCAGCTCCTCCAAAATGCTGGAGATGAGTAACATTTATAACTCCAGGGGAAACCACTTAGGCATTTTGTTTATATTTTCCAGATGAGTGATTTATTATAATGTGGGATAAAAAGAAATGGAATCAAATCTTTGCCTTCCTCCCACTGCATTTAATATTCATACATTTCTCAATGTTGGCAAAGCTCTTCTTGTTAGTCTATATATTCCATTAATTTCTTTTCATTATACAATTAATATAGGCACATTACAGAAAGTCTGGAGAACAGATAAAAAGAACAAAACTCCACCCACTTCAGTACAACCACGGCTAGCATTCTGGGGCAATTTTTTCCAGTGTATATGTTGGCTTACAAAAATAGTTGTAGGCATTGGTATGATTGTCATCATTATTATTCCGAAGAAGAAACAGATTGAGAGGTTAGAATGGATTGCTCAAGACTGAAAAGCCAGTACCCAGAAAAACCGAGACATTAATTTACTGAACAAATATTTTTCTGTACACTATAATGCACTATGGCTATATTGATGAGCAAATCATCCATTGCTTCTGTTTACCTCTATTTACAACCTGGAGCTTTCACTGATAAAACTTGCAGACTTCCCCAGATAATCTTTACAAACAGTACTCCATGGAGCTGAGCTAAATGATCACTGATTTCAGTTCTCATAGTCTGTGTCATGAAGGGAAGCTGAGGTTGTTGGGGTCGTCACCAGACTTTGGACAGATGTGTCACTGGGGTGGGAACATGGTCTACATCATTGCTGTTAGGCACGGAAAGCTGGGCGGATAGCCTGTGGCTGAGGCCCAGTGTGGTTCTCCTTATGATCCTATAGGAGCAGTTGGGAATGAGCTGACTGACACAAGCATTCATGCCAGCTTCAAGCTAGTGCTGGTAATGGTTATTCCTGGCAGAACAAAGCAAAAACATTTTTTTCTGACTTGAACATGAATTTGGCTGGTCACACTGTGCTTGAAAATGATGCTGCTGGGACTTCCGGGTAAAGGCAACATATTGAACATATTCATTACATGCTACTCTCTCCCTAAATCTCACTAAAACCAGAGTAAAGAGATTTAAAAAAGGAAACTACATAAATCTATAAAGACAAAGAGATGGGAAAGGGAACAAAAGCAAGTGAACGTTGGTAGCTGGAAAGCAGATGGACAGATGGATTTAGCAGACTTGAGAAAGATGAATCCTAAGCCAGCAGTGAAGAAGGCTGAGAAGTAACCCGATTCACCCCTTGGGCACCACAACTGCTGGAAGTGGGGGATGAGTGTGGAGCTAAAATCAGAGGGATTTGTTGAAGTCTGTTTAAAAAGCAGTCAGACTTCTAGATTTCCTCCTGTAACCTGCATAGATGGACAAATACCCCTTCCCCACTCTAGAAAAAAAGCTAGTGGCTTATTCTCTGAAAAATATAAAAACGGGTTTCTAGAGTGGGAGACATGGAGTACAGTTAAAAATGAGGGTGGGAGAGTAGCACTGTACCCAAAACAGGTGGATGAAATGAAAGTTTCCATACAGATTATTTCCCCATCAGACTCTCAGAACACTGGTACTCAAACTTATACCCTCCAGGAAGGACACTGGAAGAAACATTCTGGAGACTCTGACCAGACTAAGAGAATTCACTCAAAAGCTCCTGACAGTGCTTTCATTGGTTTCTGAAAGAAAAGGCCATGCCAGATCACCCTATAGTGAAGCCTATAGATAAAAAGCCCTATCCATGTGCTCAGAGCTCCCCAACAGCTACTGAGCTCTCTTTTCTTAAATCTCGGTGAACATCCAAGGATCACCAGGCAGATGTGAAAAACATCTAACAGGAAAGACAGAGGCCAAAACCAAATAAACAAAAGAGCAATTTAGAGGAGAGAGAATGCTGAGAGAAGAAACTATAAAATGAAACGAAGCCTATCATTAATAGCCTGAGAGAGAAACAAAGGCACTGCATCCTTGTGAAAAGGATAGGAGTCTTTAAGAGAAACATTCAGAGAATAAAAGAAAGCACTGGAAATTAAAAAATACACTATCAAAAACTGAAAAACCCAATAGAAGGCTTAGAAAATAAGGTTGCAGAAATTCCTGAGAAAGAGAATAAGGGCATGGGGATGGAAAGCAGAAGAGAAAAAGAAAAATTAATGGGCTAACCTAGGAGGTTCAACATCAGGCTATGAGTCCTAGTAGGAGGGAGCAGAGGAAAAAAGAGGGGGAGAAATAATTAACTTTTAAGAATATATCCCATAATTGAAGGGTGTAGCTTCCCATATTGAAAGGGTTTGCTAGGTGCCCAGCACAACAGACAACAGTACAACGCACACTAAGGCGTAGTGCATTTTTAATATTATTCAGTATATTAAGAGGATGAGGGTTAGGAATTATAATGTGCATGTAAGAGGCGGGGAGGGGAAAAAGGGAAATCATCCTTCCTTAGTGAGGTGATGCCTCAAATTAAAAAAAAATCAAGAAGTAGCAATATAAACATGTTATTCAGAGACATGAAGAAAATATCAAAGCAGTTTTTAGAGTACCGAAGTTAAAAAAAAAAAAACCAACTTAAAAACCTGCCGGAGAAGAAGAAAAAAAGGTATCCTACAAAACCTCTGGAATCAGAATGAAACATCAGACTTCTCAGTACTGAAAGCTAGAAAAGGACAAAGCAGCACCTTCAAAACCTGACAGAAAATTATTTCAACCTAGAATTCTGTACTTAACTGAAACCTTAAATAAGTGGTAAGTAGAATAAATGCATATTTAGACATTCAGTGTATCCAAAAGTTAGCTCCCAAGAATCCTCTCAGGAAATTACTAGAGTAAGGACTCCACCAAAATGAAGGACTAACCAAGAAAAAGGAAGACATGGGATACCAAAAGAAGCGATCCAAGATTGGAGGGTGGCCAGAAGAGTCCTCAATATGGTGGTTGAAAGGAGATCCTACGGGGCCAGCTGTACGCCAGACATAGGCAGCCAGCAACCAGTCTAGGTTGGAGCGGGTCAGAGGGCTCGGAGAGGTTTCTTTAAGAAGAAGCAATTGAAACAGTACTAATATATTCGATTGGACTGAGAGAAAATTGACATAATTGGAGGATAGCTTGGGGATTAATTAGCTATAACCACATAGAAAAACAAACATACAATAAAAGATAACTGTTAAGTACAGGGAGAACAAAAAGTTGTCCAGGAAAGGAAAATAATCGTAGAATTAAGTGATCATTATAATGTAAGCAAGAAATATTGATCTTACTAAAATTACAATACAAATATATTAGGAGGACAAAGGGTAGGAATTGTAATCCGTAAGTAAGGGGGGAGGGGAAAAAAGAGAAATCAGCTTTTCTTAGGTAATGCCTCGTTAAAAAAAAAATCAAAGATTAGCAATATAAACATGTTATTTAGAGATATGAAGAAAATATCAAAATAACTGGCTAAAAGAATTGAGCCTTTGGGGAATAAAAAATGGAGAATGGGAGGAATTTCTTTCTTTAAATAATAAAGCTCTTAAGTGCTTTACTTATTTAAAGTCATTCAGTCCTGGGGCCTGGGAGGCTCAGATGGTTAAGTGTCTGCCTCCGGCTCCGGTCATGATCCCAGAGTCCTGGGATCGAGTCCTGCATCGGGCTCCCTGCTCAGCGGGGAGCCTGCTTCTCTCTCTGCCTCTCTCTCTGTCTCTTATGAATAAATAAAAAAAATCTTTTAAAAAAAAAGAAGTCATTCAGTCCTTAAAAAATGGCTGACAAGTATAGATAATTCTTTTTTTTTTTTAAATAAGATTTTATTTATTTGAGAGAGAGAGCAAAAGCAGGAGGGAGAGGAAGAGGGAATCTGAAGCAGACTCTGCACTGAGCACAGAGTCTGATGCGGGGCTTGATCCCATGACTGCAAGATCATGATCTGCGCCAAAACCAAGAGTTAGAAGCTTAACGGACTGAGCCACCCAGGTGCCCCAAGTATAGATAATTCTTATCTGCATTTTACAGGTGAGCAAACTGAGTTATAGAGAGGGTAGGTAAGTGCTCAAGGTCACACAGCTAGTAAATGTCCAGTCTGAATTTGAACCCAGCTAATCCGTGATCTTAGCTGCTTACACTAAGATCCCTCTCACATTATAATCATACATCATGTAAATTAAAATGAAGATTAAACTGAAAAAACAAAAAGAAAACTGAGAACTACTACTACTGGTTGGTAAAGGGGCCTGTGCAAATGTTAAATATTCCGGGTCTCCTCCATTCTGGGCACATGAAAGAATTTCACTTCTTGGAACGCTGTGGTTGGGTGTAGCCATGTGGCCAGTTCTGGCCAATGAGTTTTGAATGTAAGTGACACACATAAAGTCCTGTCCATATGAGACATTCAAGAGTTTTTCCTTCTCACATGGGTGCTGGCAAAATTTCTGGAGAAAGGATGATGACAACACAGGACAGCCCTCAGCTGACCAGTGGTAGACATATAGCTTGTGGGAGAAGTAAATATTTGGGGGGTCATTTGGTTACTGCAGCATGATATAGCTCATCTTTAACTGTTTCAGGGTCTGTACTGACACACTGAGCCATTGATACAGTGGCTTCTATTCTGGCTTCTGTCTCTGCGTAGCTCAGGGCTCTGGAACAATGGTCGGTTTTCTGGGCTCCAAATGCAGTAATTCTTTAGCTTTCAAGTGCTTGGCACATAGGGAGTTTATTTTATCCATACTGATATGTGTAGCACCTGACACATAGTAGGCTGTGTTTCAGTTGATGTTTGCGAGCTGAGAAATTGGATGATAACGGAAATTCACTCTCACAGGGCACTGCTATGGTGAATACAGCTGGCTTCTTTATGACTCATTATGTATGTCGGAGCATAAACCGTGTGAACAATAAAGACTGCTCAACATCTCCAGTGAATTTGCATCCCAGTACTGAACATGCAGATTAACTGTGGTCACTTCTTTAGCCAAAATACAGAAATTAATGTGGGTTTTGGTATCTCCCATGTAGGGCTTTGGTAGTAGAAGGGTTGTTTTGTTAGTACTTCTGCATTTGGAATACACGGTGTATTTACTGAGCATTCCAGGCTCATTACAATGTAGTCAGTGATTACACTTTAATTCTAGGATGTATCAGTAAAGTGCCAAGGAGAAAGAGAGGCTCTATTCTTCATCTGGAAGAGCAATGGAAGGAAAATAAACTGGAGTTTGTGAAGTGCCTACACTATTAATGCATTATCTAATTTAATCCTCATAACAATCCTGAAAGATAGATACTATTATCTTGATTTTTTCTGATGGGGAAGCTATGGCTCAGAGAGGTCAAATGCTTTTCTCAGGGATACACAGCTAGTAAGTAGTAGAACTGGGATTTGAAATAATTCTTTTTCCTAATTGTAAGATTTGTATATGCACTCAACCACATAGATCTCAACATAGTTGAGTATTTTATTTTACTTTATGTTTCAAGTTTTATTTAAATTCTAGTTAGTTAACATATAGTGTAATATTGGTTTCAGGAGTAGAATTCAGTGATTCTTCACTTACATGCAACACCAAGTGCTCCACTCTGCACAAGTGCCCTCCTTTATACCCATCCCCCATCTAGCCCATCCCCCCACCCACCTCCCTCCATCAACCCTCAGTTTGTTCTCTGTAGGTTAGAGTCTGTTTTCTGGTTTGCCTCCCTCTTGTAGTTGAGTATTTCAAATAACAATTTTGTAGTTTTTCTGTATGTAATACCTAATTATCCTTGGTTTATCATTTGAGACAGAGTAATGTTAAATTATCTTGAAAATCATTCCATTTTTTTTTTGTATGAGGTCATTTCCTTTAACTTGGCATATTATAGGTCAGCATTTCCCAAAGTCTTTGCCTTGGAACACTAACTCTGAAAAAAGTTTTACAATGACTTTACAAATAAGTTTGGAAAATGCTTGTTTAACCAAATTCAAAATGTCTCTTTATTAGAGTCTTTAATATTGTAATGCCAATTTTACATTTCCAGGAAAGGGATATATAATGCAACATTTTCCAAACTTACTGACCAGAGACCCTTTTTCAGCTGAGCATCTTAAAAATCAAAAAAAACACTTCAGGTACTGTTTAAGTGTCCAGAGGACATTTAAATATAAAAAATATTTTTCCTTTTTGGGAAGTTCTACTTATGCCTTACTTAAATTTTTCCTGACATTGTGTGTATATTTACATCCCTGTGGGGGAATAGCATATACATTGATAGAAGTTGAGTGGAAACTATTGAAATAATAGGGCTGTCTAGATAATTGTTTCTTCTCCCCTCTTTTTTTTAAAGATTTTAGTTATTTATTTGATAGAGAGACAGCGAGAGCAGGAACACAAGCGGGGGAGTGGGAGAGGGAGAAGCAGGCCTCCCGCCTAGCAGGGAGCCCAACGTGGGGCTCGATCCCAGGACCCTGGGATCATGACATGAGCCGAAGGACAGATGCTTAACAACTGAGCCACCCAGGCACCCCTAGATAATTGTTTCTTGATTATTAGATAGTAACCTAATAGTAACGGGGAGAGCATTTAAATCCTCAGATAATATGAAAACCCCTCATTCTCCTGAGTAGTTTTAGTTTTCCCCCTCTGGCAAAGACCAAACATGAAGTGGCTTATGAATTGCAAGGAATCATCTACTCAGTTGCTTTATTACCTTTCCCTGCCATATAAGAACCAATGGGCAGGGGAATGATGGAGAGGCAGCGGAGAGAAAGGAGCCTAGATAATGCCTGGCCTGCTTAAATGAGCCCCGATAACAGAGAACTGAGTATACTTTGGTCAGTGTGGAATCGTTAAGGCCATGGTATGGGTAAAGTTTTCGTACAGATCTGGGAATGAAACCCACTTGGGTTTCCTTCTCAGCTTCTTCCATGCACATTTATATTTTCTAATGAACTACTCATTAAAAGAATATTATTTTCTTGCAAACACTTGTCCTCATTTCTAGCTATGGCCAACACTTCTGAAGAGCTCTGTTGTTACAGATATACAGTAGGGACCAACTGTTTGCTAAGACCAAGTATGATTTTTTATGTCTAATTCAAACTCAGCTAGTGTCTCTTAGTTTCAACCGTGATTTCTTACCTAGCCGGCCCAGCAGTGCCCTGAATCTAGAGAGTGTAATGCAGTTGGGATCTGATGGGTGAAGGAGCATGGAAAATGAAAACTTTATGGAGGCTTTAATTCTCCAAATAAAACTAAGTGCTTGTTCCACGAATCATTACACAGATCAGAAACCTGACCCTGTCCCATTTGAAGAGCCCAGATAGAAGAGAAGTTTTTAAAAGCCTCTCAGAGATTTTCTGGGTATAGTTGGCTAGGTCTAGGGATGTGTGTGCTCTCCTTTCTCCTAAGCAGTAGTACAGGGGAAGATTAAAATTCAGGGTGAGATCAACATCTAGTGCCCAGTCCTGATGTTCAGGGTGGGACACAAAAATGAGGTGTAGCAGGAAGACTGCACTTAGAGACAGAAAACCTAGGTCAAAATCCTGATTCTGTATTTTCCTGGCATTGTGACCTTGGTCAAGTCATTTAGCCTTAGTGGTTATTGCCAAAATGAGGATGAAAAAGAGACAGTGGATGTGAAATTGCGTTGCCATCTTTATTGCAAATATACATGAAGATTTCTTGTTGCTGTTAAAATCGGCTAAACTTCCTCAGGGATGCTCATGGAATTTTCCTTGGGGCTGAAAAGTTCGAGGGTGAATATCCCAAAGACCCAGCACACTGAGGAGTTTTGTGAAGGGACAATTCAAAGGGAAGGGAACTAAGGGCAGCTGCTTTTTTTTCTTGAGCTTTTTTTTCAAACCTTTTGTGTGGAGAGTGGGTGAGAGAGAAAGAGAGCAAGGGAGTGAAGAGAGGGAAGTCTCTTCTGAAGGGTTAAAGCAAGATAGTGCTGTAAAGTGATTCCAGATGTACAAATATTAATATCTCTCTCCCTGATGAATGAGAAGGTATGACCCAGTTAGGAAACTGCTAACATTACCGGCGCCACCGAGACCTCAGTCAGTGGCCCAGCACAGATTTTGATCCTTACCCCGGCAGCTATAATGCTGATGAAGGGCTTGGACCTGCTGCAGCAGACCTTCCAAAACGTCACTCTGTCCCCTGTGTCTGGGCTCTCTGTCGTCATAGTCTTTCCAGTCTATTGAACAAAAGAAACAAAAACAATGAAATTTTAACATGGGGCAGGCCTCTCTCCTGAGGCCTAGCCTCAGGAGCTGGGTTCTGCTCACACCCCCTGGGTCTGGATCAACACCCAGCACTTGCACAGCTTGGGGCTGCCATTGTTCAGGGCCCTGTGCAAAACAGCAATTGTGGTTGGCTTTTTGTGTTGGGCAGTTTTAGGGCAAGAGAAAGTGGTAACTGAAGGCCAAAAGAAAACAGGGACTCTGGGAGTCCAATTTCCACCCCCCAGCTCCTTACCCTCGTTTTCAGCATCCCGGATCCTAATCAGCCTCCCCTGCCACCTCTCCACGCAGCACCCCAAATCGCAACTGGATTTCCACAGTAGGAAAGAAAGGGGTGGGAATGTGCAGACTAGATGAAATGCACAGTCCCAATGCTTTTATTGTAGGTTTCACACTTTTGGCCAAATTGACATTTCTTTCCAAGGAAAGAGCCCATGTCAGATGCCAAGAAATGGAAATCTACATTTTGCTCTAATGAATGTCTGCTTTGGTTAGCTGGCGCAGCAAGCCCTGCACATACTCGGAGCCACCAACCACCCTGTCTGCTCAGTCTCTAAATATACAGTATTAGCTTACATGGCAAATTTAAATTGCAATACCCACTGAGATTTTTCTCCCCCTTTTATTTTCATTCCATTTGGCTATAATGATATCAAGAGTAATAACCCGTATGGGACTAATGTCAAGATGGTAATTCTCCTGTCTCCAACTCTGGGGTTTTTTTTTTCAGCAGGTCTGTCACTTCATAGTCCATCCCTTCTTCTATCTGCCCCCAGCCCAGTTTTACTCTCTGAACCTTTTAAAAGCAATAACTTAAAGCACTTCTTAATTGAAATGCTGTCTTTAAAAATGCTAGTCACTATCTTCTAGTAAAGCCGGTTAGTTCATGAGTGTATCTGAGGCTTAAATTCTAACTGAACCAGTTTCAAATTCCCCTCCCCCCAGATTTATTTTAAAATATGGAGTGTCCCTTGTTCAGAACCTTAGGCAGATGTCCTGATGGTTAAAGTTAGGTTTTAAAAACATCACTCATTGGCCCATCCACGGCCTAACAGTCCAGCACAGTTAGAAAGAACACAGGTTCTGGAGTCAGATAAAACTGGGTGTGAATGCTGGCTCTTCGGGCTCCTGGCTCAGTGTCTGTAAGGCACTAAACTTAACACTGACAGGTCCTCTACTCTGTAACGTGAAAAATGAACGTAGTATCTAGCTTGCAGGATTTTTTGTGAGAATGAAATGAGAGGTTTATTTGGTATCTGGCGCAATGACTGTTACATGGCATGATGTAAATCATAACTTAAAAAAAGAAGGGAATTCCTTGATGAAGAGTGAACTCCCTGAGTAGTGAGTATGGAAACATCGTTTCTAACCCTGTCAGGTGATTCCCTTTGAAGAAGGAGGCCTCAGATTTTTGAATCCTTCCTCCTTCCTGCGCTCCCCCACCCCCCCCAGGTACCTGTCTCCATTTTACCTCTCAGAAGACTGAGGCCCAGAGAGAACCATTCCAGTTCTATGTTACTCAGCTTGTCTGGGGCAGAGCCAGGACCATAATGTAGTCTCATGGCCCTCCATATAGTGCTCGTTTCCTTATACCGTTTGTTTTGTTTTGTTTCTTTTGGGAAGGAGGGTCAGAGCTTGGTTGGAGTTTGTGTGGTGTGGCTTAGTTGTGGTCAACTCTGGAGACAGGGAATTGGCATAGGTGCCTTCTGTAGACTGTTCCTTGTGGGCAGAAACCGTGACTTAAATTTCTTTTTGCCTCAGGTTTCTTCTCTGTAAAGTGAGTTTTTGAAAATTTTTAAAAGGTTGTTTGAGGTTTAAAAAAATAATGTAAGTAAAGCACATTTTGGGCACATCAGGGACACTGATTAAATGTTGGTGAGGCATTGTGAATAGAAGGATGGTGTTCAGGTAGCCTGGGCTAGGAAGGGTGCTTTTACTGGGAAATTTGGAAATGTCTGAGGAATCAAACTCCAAGTGATCCTCATTCTCATCTGTAGTGTCCCTGGTGTTTGGGCACAGTGATCATAAATGCTGCTATCCTGGATTCCCAAAGGCCATTATGAGTTTGTTCCCTCAGTTGGGTGAATGCGTCTTTAGTGCTCATGATAAGAGGAGTAATATTTGCTTGAGTAAGACTTCTGGGTGGTTGAGTTATTATGTGGCCCTGCACATGCTAATATATTCTAATGAGTGTTAATACTGCCATCAACGCAAGGGGAGGTGAAATGGAGCTGGCTCTTTGAGCTGAGCCCTATTGCATCAGAGGCAAGCTCAAGCTGATGACTTTATGATACATTTCAAAATTGCTAATGCTAAATTGCAGCCCAAGTGAGCAGTGGACATGATGCCAAGGTTTTTGGAAAGAATGAGTTTTTCTCATAGATGTTTGGAAGGTTCTGACGACTACATAAAATAGGAGACTTTAGGGATGAGGGAGAAAATTGAAAATATATTAAGAAATCAGGAACCTGACAGGAATAAACTTAGTGTGGTAGGAAAAGAGCAGATTGTGCCACATAATACAGTTCACTGTTCTGGTAATGAGACACTTCAACTGCAACACAATGCAGAGCTTACATTCAGGGGCGATATCAGGGCTTTCCTGATCATAACTCAGACAAGCCTGTCTGGGTCCTTTTCTCTTATTATGTACCATACCATATAACATAAGTCTATAAAAACACATTAAGGCCTTTTGTAAAAATATAAAAAAAAGGTTTTATAGCTTACTGGAACATATTACCAAATTTCCAATTACTCTGTCATGTTAGAATACATTGTCCTCTAGTAAATATCTGAATACTGATATATGTTGCATCACAATGTCATACTCTGTTTATAAATAGAGCTGGAGTGTTTTTATATTGCTCTTTTCCAAGTGATATGGCATGTCTGCAGCAACTATAACGACATGTTTGGACTTTAGTTCTTTGCCAGATACCCCTACTAGTCAAATGGGCCATGTTAGAAAGGTTGGCAGTTGCTATGCTAATTAGCAAGTAATAAGTGACTCTTCCCAGTCCTAGAAGACTGTTCTTGTCATTCTGGAGAAAGCCCTTTCAAATAGGCTGTGAGGGAGAGTGTCTGATTAGAATTTGAAGTTTGTAGAACATCTCTGATGCTTATAAGTAATGCATCCATATGCAGATCAGAATTTGCATTTGGAGTGGGAAGTTTTCCCTTGTCCCACCTTCAGGTCAGCTGACACTATCATTTTCTTTTTTTCTTTTCTGTCCCTTCTATCCTTCATCAACAATATATACTCTTTTTTTCTCCCTAGAATGAGATGGTTTCCCTTAGTATCTTAATCTTGCAATATTATTAGTTTGTGTTTCTTTTTTTTTTTTTTTAAAGATTTCATTTATTTATTTGACAGAGAGAGACATAGCGAGAGCAGGAACACAAGCCGGGGGAGTGGGAGAGGGAGAAGCAGGCTTCCCGCAGAGCAGGGAGCCCGATGTGGGACTCGATCCCAGGACCCTGGGATCATGACCTGAGCCGAAGGCAGACGCTTAACGACTGAGCCACCCAGGCGCCCATTAGTTTGTGTTTCTGATGTCTTTAATAAAAAAGATGTCCAAGTAAGACTGGAATAATTAAATCATCAAATGCCCATGGGACTCAGGGGCCTTAGAGATCTCTGGTGTCTGTGGTCCAGAGCCCTGTATCACCTGGTGTAGCTATGTGAATCCACCAGAAACGGCAGTCGGGAAGGGTTGGCTGGCTGGCTCTTAGTCTGCTTGTCTGCCTGATAGCAGAGCACTAGTTCCCACAGCGTAGGAGACATGGCATGGGCTTGATCGGTGTAGGCTTGAATCCTGGCTCAGCCACATGCAAGAGTTGTGACCTTGGGCAAGGTAACATCCTCTCTAAATCCCAATTTCTTTATTAATAGAGGAAGAGGACAGCATAGTGGTTAAGGACAAGGGCCATAGGATTTGGGCCTGACTTCAGTGCTTGCTGATTTTGTGATGTTGGGCTCTATGTATTCATGTGCCTCTATGTGAATAGTTCCCTTACCAGTAAAATGGAACTACTAATAAAAACCACCCCAATGGGTCTGTTATGAAGATTAAATGAGTTGATCCACATAAAGTTCTTAGACTAATGCCCAGCATTATAGTAAGTCTTATGTTGGCTCTGATGTTCAGAGTGATGCAGATGATGAAGATGACGGTGCTTATCCACGAGACAGGAACAGTGATGAGGGACTCATGTGAGGATTCCGTGAGACACTGATGAAAGCCCATAATGTGCCACCTGATTCATGGTTGATTCTAGGTAAAGGGTTGTTATAAAACATGACACATAAATATATAAAAAAAAAACAACTAAAGAGCCTACAATCTTATAACCCAAATATCCACTGTCAAATGTTGACAGTTATATGCAGACAGGCCTACCTAATAATAATCAAACTCACAGCTTAAATATGTGAAAAAAAATTTTGCATTTTGTTTTTACATAAAACTTATAAAGTAAGAATTTCTTCCACACAGTGAAATTTTTTAAACACCATTTTAGTGGTTTCATTTTGTTCTATAATGTGTATATGTATATATCATACTTTATTTAACCATTGAAATAATATTGGATATTTGTTCTCTCTATACCTGGTATTTCACTATATTGATACACTGCTACAGTGTGCATATTTGTTCATAACTGTTTGTTCTGCCTTTGTTTCCTTAGGTTAGATTCCTAGATAAATAATTATGGAGTAAAAAGAAATGACTGTTCTTATTATGGCAAATTGTGTCCCACAAAGATTGCACTCTTACAAGAAGCATATGATACCATTTTGAACTATCATATTCCTGAAGGTTTTTAAAAAAATGAAAACAAATTTAGAGCTCATTATGCAGAAAAATCTATCATATGGTGTATCTAGAGATGTTTCTTCTGGTTAATTAAATTTCCTGGTTAATAGAGAGCTACCAAATATACCAGACATAAATTATTAATCTTCACATAATTAGAAGAGGCTTTTGCTGGGGTTTTCAGCCATCACTACAAATGTTATATTTGTAGCAGAGTGTAGCGGAGTGCCTGTTAGTAAGAAAGCGTTTTCTTCTGACAGAATGTCAGATAAATAAGATTTGCTATATATCCCATTCCCTTATCAATTTGATGTGGGTGAGGGGGTGAGGAGGAGAGAAGAGAGCTAGAGTGGGCCGCTACTCCTGCTGTGTCATTCATAACATCCCCACAAAAGCCTTGGGAAAGGTAGGATTGGACTCATTCTACAGATTGAGAGAGTTTAAGGAACTTTTGAAGGCCACACAGCTAATAAAAGGTATCCTGGGTATCAAATTCGGTCTTGCTGGTTCCAAATTCCCTCTCTTTTCATTCCACTGAGTTGCCTCCCAGGGGAACATTTCTGCAGAGGAATCATTCATTATGTGGCCCAGATGCTATTCTGAGGAGGTCTTGTTAGTCCCAAGCAGCGGGGAGAAGGAATGGCAATGGTATCCTGAGGATGGATGGAGGGGGAGGTTGGAGCCTGTGGCCAGGCTTGAGAGAGTTCACAGCCACCACCTACTAGAAGGCGAGGCACATGCCGGTACCGTGGTCTGAGCAGGTCCCCATCCTTTCATGTTATAAGCCGAGACTTGAACAAAATACTGTTGGCCCTGAAAAGTATCGAAATAGAGAGAATGTATGCATTAGGAATTGTACTGAATCACTTTTACTCTAGAAGCAGGTTCCTATGTCTGATTAACTCATTGATCCATTGGGAAATCCACTAGCCATGCTTTAGCTTTCTAGCTTTTCTTATTACATATATGTGTAGTAATACACATCTTTGGGGTGACTTTAGTTTCTATGAGCTTTCTTTTTTCAAAATTGGAATGTCATAATTACCTTTTTTCCTCTACCTGAGTTATACACTAATTATTAAAAGTCACACACAGTTCTGCAAGGTTTACCCAAATCAGCAATTCCTCACCTTTCTCCTTATTTTCCCCTCCCTGGAGGCAGTCACCATCACTTTTATTAGCTGATCGACTTGCTTTTAAAATTAACAAGTTACAATGGACATCTTTTCAGTTTAGTACATCACAGATCTGGTTCATTTTTTTAGTGGCTGCATAGTACTTCACCGTGGGCAAATAACTGTCATTTATTTAACCAGTCTCCCCCACTGGTGAACATTAAGATTGTTTCCACATTTTACACCACAATAAATAATGCTGCAGTGAGGGGCGCCTGGGTGGCTCAGATGGTTGAGCATCTGCCTTCGGCTCAGGTCATGGTCCCGGGGTCCTGGGATCGAGGCCCACATCGGGCTCCTGTCTCAGCGGGGAGCCTGCTTCTCCCTCTCCCTCTGCCTCTGCTCATGCTCTCTCTCTCTCTGTATCTCTGTGTCTCAAATGAATTAAAAAAAAAAAATCTTTAAAATAAAAAAAATAATGCTGCAATGAGTATCTCTGCTCAGCTATTAAAACTTTTAAATTAATTCTTCGATTTCACTTCAGTTTTAAAACCATCTTTAAAACAATGGCTTATATTCTTTAATGTCTTCTGACACCAAAAACTTAGGAGTTGTTTTTGTTTATGTATAATCTTTTCAAATGTTCTGTATAGTTTTCCATTTTTGCTTTGCTTTGACAAGTTATTTTTTTTCCCCCAGTGAACCCAAAGAGGCATTTTTGAAGCCAGCATTTGATAAAACATTGCTTGTGAAAATTATAAAATAGCGTTTGAAGTAAAAAACAAAACCAAAAAACAAAAAAAACCCACCGCATCTTTGTAGGGCCTTTGCTAGAAATTTTAATAATGTTGGCCTTACCATATTATAAAGTTAATTTTTTTTAACATTAAAGACAGGTTTCTAGGTACTTCAGGGTTATGGCGATTCTGCAGAAGGGTCAGTCTCCTTCTGGGCTTTTATGTGATTAGGATAGTGTCTGAATTGCTCTCATTGGACGACCAAGTGGAAAAACTTAATCCCTATAAAAATTAGTTGAAATATTAGAGAAATTCTCTGTGGAGAGTTTTCCATTTTTATCACGTGATATCACTTTTTCTTTTAAGCAAAGGAAATTCCCTGGGGTTCTCTTCTGGCCCTCTTCCATCATGTGAGCTATAGGGTTGGGAATCAGTCTTCTGCGATAGCATCTCTGGGGGCCACCCACTCAGGGGTTTGTTTGCTCTGGTAATCCACAGTTTTGGCCCTGGTATAGACGTGTGATTAGGACTAAAAGTCAAGATTCTGTGGTGGTGACCCAACCACCAAGAATTCTATTAGAATAAGCTGGTTCAAACTTGAAGAGATGCAACCAAATGCAGCTTTTTAATGCTGGGTTTCAGGTTTACACTTTATAGATAACTGTTTTAACGGACTAATCTTTTAGGAGAACGGCAACAAAAACAAAATTCTCCCTCTCTCTTGCATAAAAGGTCTAAGATATTAATGATTTGAATTGGAGCAAAAAAAAAAAATAACAGGTTTCACTTAAGTATACTTTAAAAAATTTTTCATTAAAAATGACTTTGATGATTGTTTTGTTGCATTTTAATTATTTGAGGAGATACAGGGTTTGTTCCAGTATGAACTGATTTGCTAGCTGTTTTTATTTTTTGCATTGCATATGCTCATATGGCTTAGAGTTCTATAAATAATTAATGTTTGAGTTTAGATTGGTTAAACAAATAAGCACAGTTTGTTCCAGTTTTTCATTCACAGTTTAAATTGGTTCAGGTTACTGAGAAATGTAGTGCCACCATATATAGTTTCTTTTCTGTGAAAGCAGATTTAGACAGATTTTTTTTTTTTTTTTAATCAAGGGAAAAGGATTTCTCTCAGGAAATTGTATGACTCCAATAGATGACTGATCTTAACTGAGGCTATGGGGGTGAGGGTTAGAGGAGGCTGTTATTTTTACCATCAGACAGGGAGTCAAAATTGGATCTCTCAGAGCCTTTGATCCCCCCTGAAGATTAGACTGTGATCCAGAAAGCAGCAGCTTTCAAGGTTTGCATGAGGCCAGTCTTTTTCTGATCTCTGTAGAACATGGCAGCTTACAAAGTGGTTCATGCTGTCTGCTCACTCCTTTGTGGGGTTCAGATTATGGATACCAGACCTATCACACTTAACGAGTGGCAGTTGTTGCCAGAGGACTGGGTGTTGGCAGTTGCTTCCAGAGTAGGCATTTGCTACCCAAATCCCAGTACAAACATCATGGGCAGGGGAATGGGAAGCCTAATGGGAGGATTTGGCATTTACCGTTGTAAGTCCTGTGATTGTGCATCTCAGGGTCTGCAGGTTTTCCATGATGATTTCTCCAACCAAAGGACAAAAGTCTTTAGACATGCTCCATTCCACTGCAAGGAGAGAAAGAAAGAGACAGTATGAAATTTACTCATATATCAAGAAGCATCACAGAAACTCTAGCAAAAGTGTCTCTCAAAAACGGTAAGTTTACCCTCCTTTCCCTGTATTGGCACATCTCACAGTCTTCCTTAGGATAACAAGTCAGTTTCTAAGTTCACAATTATTTTTTAAAACTAGAGAGGAAAATAAGTAATCATTGAACAGTGATTAATATACCTTAGATATACATATGTGTATGTATCTGTGTACTTATGGATATAGACACACACATGCTCAGGCACATTATATGTAACAGTTCATTGTATGTAGAAGGTAAGTTATTAATTGCATGGGAGAAGTGAAGGGTACACTAGGACATTCCCTTCTGTTAGCTGCCCAAGTCTGGTTTGGGCTTCACCATGCTACTGAAAGTACTATTTCAAGGTCCCAGGGACGTTCTCTTTCCAAATAAAGAAGTTTCCTTTCATTTCTTTCTGTGTCATTGGACACCTTCTTCTTCTGGAAGCATTCTCTTCTTGTAGTGTCCCACATGCTGCCCCCCAGGCTCTCCTCCTCCTCCCTGGTCTTGTCTTCCAAGCTTTTTATTTGCTTCTCTTCAGCCTGAGGATTTGGGGTTTGTGTCAGTGCTCCCCCCACACCTGACATCCCTGAAGTGAGTGTTCACAGTTCAACCTAACACCCAAATTCTAACGCCCCATTTTACTGTGAGGCCATGTTCTTTCATAACATTTTCCCTTGGTTGAAAAAATTGTGGTCAGGAAAGATAAATTGTGCCTCATCAGTATGAAGTGTCTTAAGTGACAGTTTACCCATGGCAGAGTTTAGGGCAATCTGATTGAAGCAGGAGCTTAGGCACATAGAAGACAAGGCCTGCACATCTAACCCTCATGATGACAAACTATAGGTTTTAAGATTTAAGTTATGTTCCCTATGACACTTCAGTACTTCAAAATTAAGCCGAACCATCCCTGAGGCCTGCTGCTTCTCTGGAGTCACACATCCCTCTGATGTGGGTGCTGCCCCTCGGCCCCTCCTCTGTATGTTCCTAGGAATCTAGCTTGTTCTCCTCATTCTATAGAAATTGCTTTCCTAAAGTTCCTGGTGCTCTGATTGTCTGCAACAGCCTCTTCCTGAGAAAGCCAGCCACTCTGGCCTCCCTGATGTTTTAAAGCCTTCTTTCCCCTCAGTTTTGGTTGCACCCTTTCTTCCTTTCTCCTGACCCCTTTTCCCGGGCTCTCCCTGGTTCCTCTGAAATTTCCTTCTCCCTTTGCTGTGATGTTCTCGGGGGTTTGGTTTTGGCTCTTTTCTCGCTTCATATGCTTGTCCCAGGCAGTGACCTTATTCACACTTCTGGCGCCAACGATGGCTCTCAAAACTGTAATTCTAGGTCCAGCCTCTCTCAGGACTCTGACTTCCTCCTGCAGATCTGCACGTGAGTGTCCGCTAGTACCTTCTCTTTGCCAAAATAGGTGTCTCCTCTTGTTTTCTCAGTTTCAGCTCATGGCATTGCCCTATACTTAATCACCCAACCCCAAATCTCAGAGCATCCTTGCCTCCTCTTTTTCCCCAATTCTTCATGATCAGTTGATCACTAAACCCAGTAGGTTCTGCTTTAAAATGTCTCCCATAAGTTTCTCTCTCCCCCTCACACCTGAACTTATTCTAGAGCAGGACTTTATAATCATGTGCATCTATCTGCAATTGATTTTTTTTTTTTTTGCAAGGAGGTATAGGCTTGATTGATTAACTGATCAACTCTCCTAATTGATTTTTCTGTTCATCTTCTTATCCTTATACACAATCTGCTCTTACCAGCCTGAGTTATATTTAAAAAATGTAGATCTCATTATTTCATTTCTCTGCTTAAAGTCTTTTCATAGTGTCCAGTTGCTTTCAAAATAAAATGAAATGTTGGGGCCCTGGGTGCCTCAGTGGGTTAAGCATCTGCCTTTGGCTCAGGTCGTGATCTCAGGGTCCTGGGATCGAGCCCTGCGTCGCGCTCCCTGCTCAGCAGGGAGTCTGTGCCTCTCTCTCTCTCTCTCTCCCTCTGCCCCTCCCGCCTGCTCATTCTCTCTCTCTCTCTCAAATAAATAAATAAATATCTTTAAAAAAATTTAAAAACCCAAAATAAAATAAAATGAAAAGTTAACAAGGCATTCAAGGACCTTCATAATCTGGTCCCAGCTTTACTCTACTATCTTCATCTCCTACCATGTCTCACAGCAAAGTCCTTGCTCTGTAAGTCCCTGTTACCTGGTTATTCTGTGTACTTTTCTGCCTCTATGTCTTTTGCTGATCTTCCAACTGCTGCTTGTGAAACTCTGCTAATCCATTAAGATCTAGCAAAGTTAACTCTAAATTCCACAGGAATAATTAAATACACCTGTTTCTGTGCTCCCAAAGCCCTTAATTCATATGAAAATAAGATTTATTACACACATATTATGCTTTATTATATGTATCTCTTTCTCTTGTTAGATTGTGACAAATTTGAGAATAGGTGAAATACCTTTCCCTTCTTCTCTAGTACATGGATTTGTGTGCTTGGTGCATAGAATGTGCTTCCTAAATATTTTATATACAATTTGATTATATGCATGGATACACACACATACACACATGCCTAGAGTACACTGGTTTTTCCAACAAGGAGGGATATTTTTCTTCCTGTGAATCTTCTTCTCCAGTCCCTTGCCCTTTGAAGCTCTCAGGCATGTTGTAAAATGTAATTAGAATCAAATGATTAAGATTATATGTTAAATCTCAAATTAGGCCTACACTTCCTTACAAATATATATTCTAAAAGACTTAATATTAATGTGTATCTATGTATGCATTTTTTTCCAAAATATTTTATTATGCTTATGAGCTACTAGCTCTGAAGAAGCCACAACTCTCAAAGTCAACTTGGACTTAATTTGCATATATCTAGCTAAAGAAAAAAAGGAAATCATTGGAGACATTATCACAAACAAAACAAAATGAAAATCAGTAGCAAATCTGCAAGTATATCTAGAAAAAGCAAGGAATACAGGAAAATTCTGGAAACAGAAATATCCCTGGTTGCCACTGAGACATGCATCATTGACTGATGTGGAGGAGCTCCAAGCAGAAGGGTGAGAGTCACGGTTTTCTGATTCCAGGCTAAGGATTCGGGGCTGACTTCCTAAAAGAAGAGCTAGGGATTCATGGGAATACCTCCAAGGGATTAATGACAAGTTCCTCGAAGATACAGTCTTTAAAATTTAAAAGAAATGATTTATTTTTGAGTAACAACTGTTCATGTTCTATTGAAATATGTTTTTACAAAACATGTTTCAGGTGGAAAAGAGGACCTGTCTTCTTGAAAAACAAAACAAAAAACAAACAGAAATAGCTTTGTAAGGAGATATGGTTCTGCTTTGGAAGTTAATAGAAAGTTTTAAGCATTTAGTCTAATTAGATCTCATAACATGAAAGAAGATTCACATGGAAGGAAAAAAATCCTCCTTGTTGGAATGGACAGTCTGTTCTGGGGCAACCAACAATCTTTTTCTTCTATGTACTTCATCGGGTTGGTGGACTCTTTCTCGACATGAAGAAAGGAGCTTCTGGTCATTTAAAAAATGAGGGAGGGAAACAGAGTGAGCAGGAATCACTTTGAGAGCCCACTGGGAATTCTAAGAAGGCAACTTAGCATGGTCTCTCTGGAAAGTTATGTGTAGGTAGTTTAAAGACTTAATATTAAAGCCATGAGAAAATCACTTATAAGCCTGCTCTAAATCCCTGAAGGACTGGAGCCATGTATATGAAGTTTAAAACTGTATAAGACTTATAATTTTCAGATAAAGATCAGGGCGACTGTTTCTACTTAGGTCTGGGAAATCGAAGTAGGGTTTAATCATACAATGGCTCATAGCAGTTGAACATTAGCAAGAAAGGTACCAGACAAAACCTAGGTGTTAGTGTTTCTTAGAATTTGGCTCTGGCTCAAGCTGTGATTCACTATATTTATATCAAATAACTATGAATATTTTAAATATGACACTTTATTATTTTAATAAATATTTCATTTTTATCTAAGCTTTAGCAAGTAGAGTCATTTGGGAAGGAAAGTTCTAGCTGAACACCTCTATTTACCGGATGGTAGCTATAAAAACCACATGCTGAAAGCTTAAGAAGAGCTCCTGAAGGTCTAGCCTTGTCACCTGAAGTCTCTAAGGTAAGGAGAAAAGTCACAGAATCAGTGCAAGAGTAGAAAATTCAGGACTGAAGTGTTAGGATGCATAAGCAGGACAAAGTCTACAGTGCAGGTACATTTCCAGCCTCATGGTATGAGCTCTGTGAATAATATGCCTTGCTTTGGCCAGTAACTCTCTTAAGTTTTCAGGCTAGTTTCTTGAACGGTAAAGACCCTGCAGAAATAAAGGCACAAAGAGATAACATTACAGGGGCACCTGGGTGGCTCAGTCAAGCGTCCGACTCTTGATTTCAGCTCAGGTCATGATCTCAGGGTCCTGGGATCGAGCCCCGTGTCGGGCTCCCACGCTGAGCGTGGAGCCTGATTAAGATTCTCTCTCTCCCTTTCCCTCTGCCCCTCCCCACTCATGCTCTCTCTCTTTTTTTCTATTTTTTTATTTTTTTAAAGATTTTATTTATTTATTTGAGAGAGAGAATGAGATAG